TCCCACAACCAGACACATAGCCAGAGCCTCGGGGGCTGCCTGGAGTTCTGAGGCATGGAGAAGGGGATCTGACCTCCCCTCCCACAACCAGGCATACCACCAGCGTCTCAGGGCCTGCCCGGGGACCTGAGGCATGGATCTGGGGACTGGACCCCCCCACAACCAGGCACACTGCCAGTGCCGAGGAGAATGCCAAAAACATCATCTTCATGTGAGTGGCCCAGCACAGCCACCACAATAACCACAGCTGCTGCAAAAGTGGCTAGATGCCACAACCACCACACAGATGGTCCGCCAGCCACTTGAGTGCATTGACACAAGGAGAGTCACCAGCAGTGATCAAAGAAAAGAAGAGGATGTCTCTGTCCACAAAGCCCATTCCAGAGTGACAGAAGAAGCATCTGCTCTATGATAATATTGGGGGACCTGAACATACCTCTCAGCATTGGACAGATCATTTAGGCAACAAATCAACAGAGTAACCATTACTCTTTCAGAAGGAGAGAAGAAATCTAGGGTAATTAGAGGGGACAGGGGGAGGTAGAGGGGGATGGGGAGAGATTGCCCAAAGGGCATAAAGAACAAGTACGATTTGTAGCAATATATATGCTAGTAATATTGATTTGATCAACATATCTCAACAATGAACCCCCAAAATATGTATAATCAATTATGATTCAATAAAAATTAAAAAAAAAGAAAAATTTGGAAAATTGACTTCAGATTAAGTGGGCAGGTTAACATTCCACCACAAAACAAAAAGACTAGATACTTTTAAACCCACACATTTCTGTTTTTATGAATGTGTAACATCAGGAATCTGGTATTTCCCAATTATTATTTATCAGTTTTATTCTGACAATAAAAAGTAAAAGCCCTAAAAAAAAAAAAAAGTCCAGTCTAGTTGGGACATACACAGACAAGTAACAGAATGGCACTGTGGTATATTAGTGTGATAATGATGGAAATAATCAAAATGATGGCGACAATGATGACCACAGCAAGAACTAATAATGGTCCCTGTACACTGGCACTGTGCCAGGCACCTCCCAGGACTATCTCGCTTTATCCTCACAACTACCCTGTGAGGCGGATGCTGTTATCACCAACACTCTACCAAGGAAGCTGAGGCTCAGAGCTCAAAGTCATACGGTGAGGGAACCAGAGAAGCTGGGGTGATGGGAGAGCCGAAAAAGCCATGGTTGGACCTAAAGGGGCCAGAGAAAGCCTCAGGGAGGAGGTGGTGATGTCCTGCACTTTGAAGAGTGAGCTGGAGCTCCACCGAGGGGGGACACAGGAGTAGGCATTTGAGGCAGAGGGCCAGCAACTTAAAGGTGTGTGTGGAGGTGTGTATGAGAACTTTGTAAGTCGAGTGACACTCCTGATTAGCACCACTGAACCTGCCATCCTCAGGGATGCCAATTCTACAAGGCTCTACTCTCAATAAGGGCGTGGGAGCCGGCAGGCTTGAGAAGAGATTATTTTACTATTGCAACAAAAAGGGGCCTGGTTTACAGAAATACAAGCACCTAATACTAGGTCATCCATAATCAAGCCAATCAGCAGTACTTCCGCCTCTTTATTTAAAAGTAGGATATGGAATACTGAAGGCATTAACTCAAATGGCAGATATTCTTCATTTAATTCTATTTTTAGAGCCTCTTCAGCTTTGATACAAATTTTTTTTTTTTTTCGTGTCCGGCAACGGATCGCAACCCTCAGTGTTGCGCCTGTACCGGACCGGGACCAGCAACGGGATCGCAACCCTCGGTGTCGCGCCCGCACCTCGCTCAGCCAGTGAGC